AGATAGATAGATAGATAGATAGATAGATAGATAGATAGATAGATAGATAGATAGATAGATAGATAGATAGATAGATAGACGGATAGACGGACAGACAGACAGACAGATAGACAGATGGATAGATGGATAGATGGATAGATGGACAGACGGACAGACAGACGGATAGACGGATAGACGGATAGATGGATAGATGGATAGACGGACAGATGGACGGACGGACAGACAGACAGACAGACAGACAGACAGATAGATAGATAGATAGATAGATAGATAGATAGATAGAGATGCACCAATATTAAATTTTGTCTGATACTATTAAGTCAATAATTATTTTGAATAATTCATGCTATGGTTGATAATCTATAAATAGCTGTATTTAAATGCAATATTTTGAATTTATATTATATTACGTAATATAAATCAAATCTATAAACAAAACATTAAACAAACAAAGGATGCACCAATATTTAAATTTTTGTTATGACCAATAATTCATAAATGGCTGATACAAAAATGCTATACTATTTAGTCAAAAATCAATCAATCAATCCCTTATAAACTCTTTTTTATGTTATCACCAATATTTCATAAATGGCTGATACAAAAATTCAATAATATTTTTAAATAAATAAGCAACTTTGTATGTTTTGACCAATAATTGGCTTATCATAAATTCAATACTAATTTGTCAAAAAGTATTTTACATACTAAAAGCAAAACATATAAATAAAATGAAAATTATCAGTTTTAAATGTAACAAATTAAGTCAGTGCTAGATGATCTAAACATAAAATTAGTCAGGAAGAAGGAAATGCACAATTAAATATCCAAATATTGACCAATATATAGTCAATATATTGTTTCCTTCATGATTTTGGGGGAAATAATCTTTTTGGGAGTTTGAAAACATGTGTTCACTGCGTTGTAGAGGAAAGAGCTGCAGAATCTCTCCTTTCAGGTTCCACAGACAAAAGAAAGTCACATGGGTTTATAATTTTATAAAGAGAATCTTGTGTCTTAAACTCAACTAAAAGCCCCAGTCGTAAGAGTTTTGACAGTCATGTTGCAGGCCGAGGGCCACGTTTCTTAATGCCAATGTACTTGCAAGCGGTCAATATCTTCTCCGATCTTTTTTTAAACACAGAATCCATGTACGAACAGCTCTGCCGCCTCGTGATGCACCACGCGCCGCAAAGTCGCCCGAAACAAACAAACGACAGAGACAAGGGAGAATTTGCATGAATCACATGCATGTCATGCAGACAAACTTAGCATCCTCACGCAGCGCCAAGTGAGCCTGCGCTCTTATCTTAAATGCTGGATTCCTCACAGATGCCTGCAGTGTTTTTAGGGGGTTGGGGAAGCGGGTTGTTTTGTGGGGCTAAAAATAGTGTCGTAGATCAGAATGTTGAGGAGAAAAGGGCCTCGTGCAGATTAAACCGCAGTTAATCGCCTGTCTGCGACTCCGAATGCCATTGTGCGTTAGGTGCTTCAACAAGGAGGTCTGAAGATCTTCCAAGCAAAGCCGCTCTTGGTTTCGGCTTTGTTTTGGAAGGATGTTTACACTTCATCCTCTTTTTTTCCCCTTCTTAAGTCATTCATCACTTTTTTGGCCTCCTCATTTCCTCAACCAGAGAGGCAATTTGTTTTCTTATAAACTCACTTTTGAGTTGACAAGGGGCTTAATCACAGAACCAAAACTAATGTGCTTTGGTGCAGATTTGTCAAAACTTTAATGTCAACAATTACATTGGCGCGTCTTATTTCGTAAAAAGAAATTTCATAGGAACTGAAGTTTTTTTCCAACTTATTTTGAAGGACATCTCACGGTCTTCAACAGGCGATAAGGACCAGCTACAAACACGTCACATCCCTGTACACCCTATTAATATCCAAAGTTAAAGGGGTTATATGATGTTGCTAAAAAGAACATTATTTTGTGTATTTGGTGTAATGAAATGTGTTTATGCGTTCGTTGCATCCAGTGGGGACATAATTATGGATTATAATGTCTTATACTGTCTTTTTACGCGTTGCGTTGCAGTGAGCAGAGGGCTAGAGTGAGCAGAGGCCGGGGGCTAGAGTGAGCAGAGGCCGGAGGGCTAGCGTGAGCGGAGGCGGGCGGGCTTGAGAACGGCGCAGCCGGTGAATTCGATAAAGGAGCGTCCGGACGGCTTGCGGCAACCACATGTGATGACCCCGGGCTGGACACCCCTTTATCCCTTATAAACTCTTTTTTATGTTATGACCAATATTTCATAAATGGCTGATACAAAAATTCAATAATATTTTTAAATAAATAAGCAACTTTGTATGTTTTGACCAATAATTGGCTTATCATAAATTCAATACTAATTTGTCAAAAAGTATTTTACATACTAAAAGCAAAACATATAAATAAAATGAAAATTATCAGTTTTAAATGTAACAAATTAAGTCAGTGCTAGATGATCTAAACATAAAATTAGTCAGGAAGAAGGAAATGCACAATTAAATATCCAAATATTGACCAATATATAGTCAATATAGTCAAGTTGCATCGCGCCGCGCCGCGTAAACATAAAACCATGTCTGCATTTGTGATCTGAGAAATGACAAACAACAAGCCCTACTCTACACTGCCCAAAACTCACGTTTGAATCATCAGTGGCAAATTCTTTAAATATAAAAAACGTACTTACAGTCTGTGAGACAGAACAGCCGGCATCGTGAGCGGAGGCGGGCGGGCTTGAGAACGGCGCAGCCGGTGAATTCGATAAAGGAGCGTCCGGACGGCTTGCGGCAACCACATGTGATGACCCCGGGCTGGACACCCCTTTGGTGTGGCTGACACTTAACTTCTATAAAGAATATCTCTTTGGATTTGAGACTTTAAGTCTTTACAACTTTACAGATCTTCTTTATGCACCAAGAGCTTGCAACACTCCAAAGAGAAAGGAACAATTGAAATCGCATCATATGACCCCTTTAACTTCAAAGCTAGTTTGTACGGAGAGGCAAAAGAACAGCAACAAAGATCTCTATTCAGTGATTCAGAGAAGAAGAATTAGCTGCTCACATGGCAAACAGTTTAGCAGAGAAGATGCCATGAGCACAATGAGGTTTTTATTCTACATTACAAGCTCAGCTGGTGCAGTCAAGCTTTTATTTCATTTCTAGGTGATGGAGAGCAATTTAAATCACCGATCAACTCTATTATTCCACAAATGTCATAATAATATTTAGAAATATATAATGCGGTAACAGTTATACATAACAAATGTCAGTAGATCCTTCCTTTAAATTGAAATATGATATAAACACTGCGTAATTCAATGTATCTCTTTGCAATTATTTGTGAAATGTAATAAGTAAAAGTGACTGTTTCAAAGTAAATCATACACCATTTTTTCTGTGTTATATTAAATTTAATTAAATATTAATTGTATTGAAAATGCATATATAAAAGACTGGAAATGTTTGTTACTGACTTAACGATATAGCAAGAGCTAGATGGATGGATGAATGGATGGATGGATAGATAGATAGATAGATAGATAGATAGATAGATAGATAGATAGATAGATAACTGATCAGTCTAAGTTGGAGAACTGCTGCATGTTCTCGACAACAAACAGCCAATGCACTCTCCTGGATCAGTTCAATTACAAAGATGCTCAGTCATTCAGTCACTGACCCAAGCAAATTAGAATTTGCACTAATTGTGGGGGTTCGGCTCCCGGTCAACCTAATCAATTAGAGCATCCGAAATCAAATCAGATGTCCAGAAGGAGTGATCACCCAGACCTCTGGCATCTGGCCACCAATCTATGAACTTCAATCCACACCACAAACCCCACACAGGTTTCAACTGAACCAAAAAAGGTTGATGAAGACGCTTTAACTGGAAAGAACTTTTTAGGTTTCGTATTAAACCTTTAACGAAACTAGAAACCAATACCTTGATATGTATAAACAACTTATACAAACAACCAAAACGTGGCTTCATACCCATAAAGTAGCTACTGCAAAGAACCAATGAGGAATCTTCAGTTAGAGTCTGAAGAGATTTGAATCCTAAATCACTGGCCAGGGTTGGGTTGGTTTAACTTTGCATTGGCAGATTAATCAGATTAACTAGCAATCTAAATTTACAAGTCAAATTTAGTCTCGTATTCTACACAAAATACGGACGGTAAATATTGCGCGTTATGCTAATTTAACGGCACGTTTAAACAGCTGCGTGGTAAATTGCTGCATAAAACGTTCACAAATCTGTAAACTTCGCCGTTCCTATTTATATTAGTTGTTAAACTTGTATTAGTAGTGCTGAAACGGACCGGTACGCAACGCGTAACGCTTTTATTCCCATAACAACAACAGCAGCAGCGCTTTCCTACGGGATAACAGCGCGATTCTAAACCATCTCTCACTTCTGACCGGATCAGATTAACAGCGGATGCTTTTACCAAAACATGTACAGATACGAAATGAATACAGGGAAAAGATATCCGGCATAATAATGCCGTTTTACCTGGTAATAATGAAGTTGAATGCGCTGATAACACGATGCGAATTTAGATGATACACTATATATTCCCCGCTGATGTCCACATTGTCAGTGTCAGGCGCTTACTGTAGGAGAGAATACCCCGATGTCAGAGAGAGAGAGAGTGAGAGAGAGAGAGAGAGAGAGAGAGAGAGAGAGAGAGAGAGAGAGAGAGAGAGAGGGGGTTAAAGGAGATAGGACCATCCTATCCGATTGCAAAAGACAAACGAGGATTAAAAAGAACAAATGCACAACCGTATGCCGAGAGGACAAATCGCTCTGCGTTGGTTTCTTCTTTTGAGCCATGTCCTTTCTCGATTATTTCATAAGAAATCTGGCTGACACTTTCTATTAAAATATCACGCCATAATATTTCACTGTTCTTCGCGCAAGTGGTCTAGTTATTCTGAAGTCATTTGACGGCGAATGACTGGAGAAAGATTCGATTCCACAGCGCTTGAATGAAAAAAAATAAGAAAAATATTCGATTCGATTCGATTTGATTCGACGTAGCTGGGAAATAAATCGATCTGAAAACAAAACATTCGCTTACGTTCAAAATAGATTCGATAGTAAGTAAGTGACTGGAACAAAATACTCGATTTCGTACTTGGATTCTATTTGACAGCGATCGACTGCTGAAAAATGATAAGATTTGGTTTGACTGTGATGGGCTGAAGAATGAATGAATGAATGAATGAGATTTGATTCTGCATGAACGTTGATTTGACAGTCGACATACAGTTCAAATCGATTCGTCGAAACTCCTGCGACATAAATCAAGAAAGAACAGCAACAGACAACTGTTTTTATTTTTGCTATGGCCATTTGCATTTAGACATGATTTTAGCAGTTTGTAAAACAGTCATTAACACTTCAGTAACTTAATAACTGACTCATTAACAAGCCTCAAATAAGTGTATATGGAACAAATAATATATATGGAAGTTCCAGAACACATGCCTATTTGAATGTATATTAAGCTCTTTTATAGTTAATGTTGTATAGCCTATAAAGTGCTATTGATCTACATGTATCTTCTTTTTTTTAAATTAAGGATATATGATGGTTAACTTTAGTTTTATGCTAAAACTATGATAATGAGATAGTCTCATCTCATGTTGTGATCAAGTTGATCAACTTTAAAGCTCATTTGCTTGCAGAATAGCTCTGATTTTATAGACATTATAAAATCCATTTGCACAATGAAATCCACTTGGCTACTGCGGACGGACTCATCAAACAGTCTTCAGGTGCTTGAAATCCAGACCGAAGACTTTCTGCATTATGCATTATATTGATCAACAATAAATATATGAATGAATAAATACATTGTAAACAGGGCAAACTGACATGTCCTCAGAAATACTGCCACCTAGTGGCAATATAACGTCTATATATATAGCAATTAATTACAATGTTAATACAGTGTTTATATATATAACACTGAAATGCATTATTATGATTATCAATAACTGAACAGGACGAACTATATGCAAATTCATTTCCAAATAATTTACTTAAGCTTAAAATTCAAATAAAAAACTACTGTAGATAAAACTAATGAGACTTTGTGTTAAATATATAATTTTATTTTATGCAATGTAAACTGATTTTCTAATATGAATTACTTGTCCAAACTAAAAAAACAAAAAGAAAACAAAAAAACATGAATATATATATGCAAATAAAATCAATTAGATGTACCTGTATTTTTAACTTGCTTTACTCATGTCACTTTACTGCACTTTCTCCCCACAGGTGCATATAAACAGACAGTCTCTCGCTATCTGAAGGTGTTATTGGCAGTCGTTCTTCTTCTCTGGATGTTTTAATTAATTTTCCTGCTGTAAAAAAATGATATAAAGTCAGCGGAAGCCTGAAGCTGCCTTTCTCAATATTCTGTGGTCTTGTAACGGTCAGCGCAGTGCCACACAGGGTCAGAGAAATCATTCATTTCAGCCAGTGAGAGATGATTTGAACACTAGACTTGACCTCCTGTTGATTACAAACCATCCCAGAGCTCTGCTGCTCTACATGTGCTGCTAAATTACAAAGAAATTTCTTGCAAACAGTGAATATTTGAGTAGGCCTAAATGTAGCTATACAATAATATATGTCGTTGTGGGACAGAAATTGTCCCACATAATTTATTTATAACTCAAAAAGCTAATCTGTCCTTTGGCCTGTCGTTCCATGGTTCTTTGAATTAATTACAACAGTGTAATTATCTGTGTATATTTAACTGGGCTGAAACTGATACACTAGTATTTGAGCTCATGTGGAATGAAGACAATGGTAAATGTGGTCATGTGACAGTGAAAAATGGGCACAGGTGATCGGGCATTGTATGTCGCCTATTTCCATTGTTGTAGAGCTGTTCAGTGAATTGTTAGACAAAAGAAGTATAAGTTAGACACTCACAATGAATAGCCTACATAAATACATGACTAAAATTCTTTCATCATTTATTCACACTCATGTTGTTCCAAACATGCCTTGCTTTCTTCTGCAGATTACAAACATGTTAATGAGAATGTTTGCACTGCACTTTAGCATTTTTTTAAACCACTGTATGACAAATGTAGTATATGTAGTAGACTCTAATGATCCAGCTCAACAAACAGTGACTAGTGTAGTCCGACTCCCTTAAAAGAAACAGCATATTCTTCCGAATCATAAATCGCAACCAGTGTTGTCCAATTCTACAATGACTCTACTAAAATGGATTCCTTTTAGTGAATCAAAACAAACAACCCAGCCAGTGTAATCAAACCACTTTCCAAATAAATGACTCTTATGAGCAGGATAATTTTAGTGAATCAAAAACATACTGCGCGATCCATGTAGTCCGATTCCTGAACAAATGACTCTTACAACCCAGTTCTTTTTAGTAAATCAGAAGCATAGAGTGCAATACATTTAGTTTAGGAACCAGTTCTAAAAAACATACCACGTGATTTGATGTCCAATTCTTGAAGAAAATAACTCTTAAGAACCAGCCATTTTTGGTGAATCAAAAACACACGGCACAATCCAAGAAGTCTGATTATTGAATGAATGAATGACTCTTATGAGCCGGTTCTTTTTAGTAAATCAGAAACTCAGAACAAATGACTCCTAAACAGCTCTTTTTAGTGAACCAAAAACATCACAATCTGTGTAGTCTGATTCCCAAACTAATGAGTCTTATGAAGTGGATCAAAAACATACTGTGTGATCTGTGTAGTTTAAGAACTGGTTCTTTTTAGTGAATCAAAAGCATGTGATCTATGAAGTCTAAAAAATTCTGAACAAATTACTCTGGTTTGTCAGTTGACTACTTTTATGGTGCATTTTAAAAAATCTTTATTGGTCGTCACTATATTATAGGTGCCCGTTTCCACCACAGAATAACAAATATAAAAATGGTAATTGCGACTTTATCTCAGCTCTGACTTATGAACTCAGAAGTGCAAGATATAAACTCACAATTTTGACGGATTTGCAAGAAAAAAGACTGAATTGTAAAATAAAAAAATGCAGTTACATTTAGTTTGCACAAACAAGCTTCCATATTATACAGTATGCTGCCATTGTAAAGCTGCATCAACATTCTGCTAAATGTTGTCTCCACAGAAGAAAGCCATAAAGGTTTGGAATGACATAAGAGTGAGTAAATGATGACAGAAGTTTTCTCCACACGCTTTGTGTCTGGGTGCAACAGTTTTTAATACAGTGAAAGGAAAGACTGGGGTGGGGGTCAGTAGATTATGTTTCCTGTTTTAGTATGACTGGCATCTTCTTTTTGACATGAACTTCAATTGACACGAACATTTGTCTCTGGTAAACAACTATAAATGGTTTTGACAGCTTTTCTGGAGTGATTTATTGTACCTGGCTCCGGTCACTTATAGCGCACACCTGTATTTGCTTCTCAACGCGTCAATGCCAAAATCCCAGTGCTTTAATAACGATCATAACCGCTGACTTCCCAAAATGCATCTGTTCTTTACTTTCAAGAGTATAGTAAGATATTTTGGTTTAGCTGTGTTATTAAGACTCAAACAGCACTTGAGCGAATCAAATGGAGTCAGATTTGACAGCCAGACCAACAGGTGTCTTGCGTGCGGACAGCCATGAGAAATACCTGAGATTTGCGGCGCTGATGAGCGAAGCGGAGCGAGTGTAAACGCGGCGGGGGAGCGTGTCGAGGTGTGAAAGGCTTCCAGACAGTACACAAGTGCAACATGACAGGCACGCAGTGGTCTAGAGGTATTCCAGCGACCCAGATATAGTAATGATGACAATAGGGATTGTAATTGAATTCTCGTTCGTCAATGGAGCAAGTGGCGTTGCTTTTATTGCCGACCGACTCTGTTTGACAGGGTTTGGCTCATTTTGGGTGGTGTAAAGCTGTATACTGAACTTCAAATTCAGATTTTGGTTCATTTAAAGGTTTCTTTTATAGACTCTTAAACACAGTCTTACTCAAAAGGTCTGAGGTGGAAACATATCTCTCTCTAGTGGTACTTAATGGTAATACAGTTTTTCTGTTTGCACACATTTCCATATACCTTAAAGTCAGTGGTTCCCAACCCTGGTCCTGGAGGTACCCCAACACTGGACGTTTTGCATGTCTCCTTAATCAAACACACCTGATTCAGGTCATCACAAGACCTGAAATTGGTGTGCCAGAGAAAGGAGACATGCATAATGTGCAGTGTTGTGGTGCCTCCAGGATCAGGGTTAGGGTAGTAGCCTACCATTTTATTGATTGATTGATTGATTGAAATACCGTGTGTTTAATTAGATTAGATTAGATTAGATTCAACTTTATTGTCATTGCACATGTAAGGTACAAGGCAAAGAAATGCAGTTAACATCTAACCAGAAGTGCAATAAGCAGTAAGTACAGGATATACAGTGTCTCCAATATGTTACAAATGTACAATAAATATACAGATAAGGCAGTACTATGGACATAATTTGCAGATTTTTAAATACTATCAGCATGATATACAGATAGGTGTACTATGAACATACTATACAGATGGATTATGTAATAAGTTTATGTACACTATAGGCTAAGCAGAAAAGTATGAACATATGAACATCATTTACAAATGAATATGTTAGCGATACATTAAGCTGTACAAAACACAAGTGCAATGGACATTTAAAAAAGTGCATAGAATGGATTGTACTTAAAAAAAATCATTTTAGTGATAGTTCACCCAAAAATGAAAATTCTGTCATCATTTAGGGTAGAGTAATTTTTTTTTCTGTAAAACTAAGTTTTACATAAGTATGACATAAATTATAAACCAAGTATGAAAAATGTCCAGCGTTTTCATGTACCATGTTTTCCATGTACCAAGGGTGGGATAAAATGCCCCCCAGTCAAACAAAGCAATTTGCTTTAAACATTTACAGAAAAATCAGAGTACATTAAGTTTTAGCTTAAAATAAAAAGAATATAATCAATAATTGTGGATTACAAAAAGTATAATAGCCTATTTGAAAAAAAATTGTTAGCTGATGCTAACTGGTTAGCTAACTAGCTACCTGATGCTAACTTGAAGTACATTTTTAAATATAAAGTCCAAATATTTTGATTCAACCAACTAGTTAGAATACATTTGATGGAAAAACTAAGGATTTGATGTTCAGAACAGAATAACTACAGAAATTGCCCATTGCCCCCTGGTGGCGTTTTACCCCACTGACTATGATTGAAAAAAAAAAAAAAAATGTCATTCTGAAATATAATTATTTTTATTAAATAACACATACTCCCTCTCTACAGGCCCATCTGTTCTCATATATGACCCTGGATCACAAAACCAGTCTTAAGTCGCTGGGGTATATTTGTAGCAATAGCCAACAATTAATTGTATGGGTCAAAATGATACATTTTCCTTTTATGCCAAAAATCATTAGGATATTAAGGATTTTTATAAATCAATACATCTTACATTTTAGACACAATTATTGCCACTTACCTGGTCGATTTTTCCTCCGCCATCGAAAATAGTTCCAAATGAAGCCAAAACATTTTCACGGATATTAAGCAAAGAACATGTTCCATGAAGATATTTTGTACATTTCCTACTGTAAATATATCAAAACTTCATTTTTGATTAGTAATATGCATTGCTAAGCACTTCATTTGAATAACTTTAAAGGCGATTTTCTCAATATTTACATTTTTTGCACCCTCAGATTCCAGATTTTCAGATATTGTTCTATCCTAACAAACCATACATAAATGGAAAGCTTATTTATTCAGCTTTCAGATGATGTATAAATCTCAATTTTGATACAATACAAATGTATCTAGACTTATATTGTGGTTATTTGGGGAAAAACAGGTGGGGATGGCGTTTTCCCCCACTCTACCCTAATCACCCTCAAGTTGTTCCAAATCTGTACAAGTTTCTTTCTTCTGTTGAACATAGAAAAAGTTATTTTGTAGATTGTTGGTAACCAAACAGTTGCTGGCAGCCATTGCCTTTCATGGTATTATTATATTGTTGATTGTTCAGCTGTCTTTCTGAACTTTCAGTTGACAAACTTTCAGTAGCCAAAACTGTGTTTGCCATTGGAAAGACTGTACATCTATTCCTCACAGTCTCATTTTCATCCACATGGTTAAATTAAATATACTTTCTAACCTGATTAAGGTCTATTCCAACATGGTCTATTTTTCCACTATACCAATTCAATAATAAGGGATTTGTTTGAGTATATTTTATACTGCTGTTTTGCAATTTATTTTGTTCTTTCACTAAAAAGTTGATACATTTTCTGCAAACCTATATCCCACTGGAACTTGTTTTTTTGTTGTTTTAA